TTTTGGCGACTTTCTTTTTCTACTAGTTGGATGGTATGCGACAACTAAGATTATCTTGATCTTTTCCAACCTAAAAATCAAGCCCCATACCCCAACACCACATGCATGATTGATACTACACAACAAAGGCATGAGGCCACACACGCACCAAATCTTGCATCACCATCACACCGCCATCCATCTGCATCGCACCTTCGGTTGAGCGACATGTCTACCCCTGTCCTCTTGCTGCTTGGATGCTTCAAGGACGTACATGATGTGATGATCCGCCTACTTGCCAAGAATGATACATGGCCACCATCACATGCATGGGAGGCTACACATACATAGGCTCTTGGACCATGACGCAGCATCGAGTTTTTCAGCTCTTCTCTTGGCATTTCATGGCGGTGGAATCACATGCTTGCGTTGCGTGCATGGAAGCATGGGCCTCATGGGATTATTGCCCCCCTTGATTAGCTACACAAAGTAAGAGATAACCTGGCAGCTAATCTCTCTATCTTGTCGTCAATTGTGGATCACATGCGGCCTAACCAAGGAGATGCCAATTGTATGAATTGTCGTCAAGGAACACAAGGTAGTACTGAATGTGATCCACTTGTTCATCCGTCGAATTGATCGATGATAAGTTAATAGATAATCCGGGTGAAGAAAACTAGCGAATTTGTATGGCTACAAAGACACATTTCCTTCATACTTTTTAAATGGAAACACACAATCTTAGGATGCGTACGAGCAGCTAAAATTTGACCGCTAATATGTCCAAATGTCATTAATAACAAGACTAGATTTGTCCAGTAAAAAATTTCTTTGTGAATTAGATTTTGAACATTTTATACTAAAGCACAATTAGAAAGTAATGGTCATTCGGAGAGAATTCCAAAATAAAAGGTTAACGAAATTCATAATAATGAACAGAAATATACGCCTTCCTCTATCTTAATCATGTTGGCTATTTACTACATTTTCTTGCTTTCCAAATCAACATTAATTCCTTCGTATGCGTGCGGGCCTTTTTTCCCGTGCTTCCAGAATCTTTCTGCATTAAATAAAAAATAATCAGTAATCCTCTGCTTTCTCGCTTTTGTCTTGGTACCAGTGTTTCCAAGACGGGCCTTGTAAACCCGGATGGAGGGAGGATTTATTTGAGGGTCGATTGGAGGGAGAAGTATCATATCAGAAAATGCTCGGTTTCTTTTTCTCAAACCTCAAAAAACTTTCCCCTTCTCAAACCTAAAAAACCGACCTCTTTTTTAAAGGAAGAAAAAAAATATCATCAAATTCAAGATGGTGGTGTTCCATACACATTTCAGACAAATTCAAGACATGTGTTCCATACATGTCCACACATGTTACACAGTGCACACCACTCCTCTTCAAATTCAAACTTATGGTGAGTCATGCCTCATATGTGAGCTCCACTCCAACACACTACCACACGTACCAGCAGCAGCACATTCAATGTTCACTGGCCACACATAGTTAGTGACAATTCAAGATGGTGGTGTTCCATACATATTTCCAGACAGATCTTGTGCCCCCTCTTGGATCATCCATCTTAAATGCATCGATCCAGGACAGCACACCCACACATGGATGCAGCACTGATCGATGCACAGCAAAGTGTTAATCCCCATTGATTGATTACATTTTGTAGCAAATCTTATCTAATCTCAGTTTTTAATTAATTTTGTGTTAGTAGCAGTATATATTGTTTCATCGTTGCAGACATTCTCTTGCACCTATACGGGGGGGACAGGACAGGTGGTGCTTGCTGCCTCCAAGAAAAAGGCTTCTTATGGAAGCAGGGCCCTCCTGATCTCTTTGCTGGTTTTGGTACAACAATCTAGATTCCCATCTAGATGTTCATACCAATATACTACATATATATTACTAGCAAGTTGCTATGAGATTTTATACTGGTTTTTGCCCTGCATTTTCCAACCTAGATTCTAATAATTTAGTGTAAACATGTTCCCCATCCTGATCTTCTCAAAAGCAGCACCACCCATTCATTAATCCTGCCCAACCAAATGACCAAATCACCCCACTAACGCCAAAACACATGTATTGTAGCATCATCAACACATTACTGTTAAGTACTGTAGTATTTCTTTTTGGGTAAACTACTAACAATTTTGTGTTTTCATTACAAGGGAAAGCCAATAGTACACAAGGAAAAGTATATGAGATATTGTACCTGAAAAAAGAAGAAACACATAAATTAGGATTCAGCTAAAGTGGGCAAGAAGAAGACCGACCGGATCTTCTATCAAGGCGCATTTTTATACTACCTTCAATCCATAATAAGCGCCGCAGTTTTTATACTAACCCCAGCTCAAAACTGCGACACTTACGAAGGGAGTATGAGTTATTATAACCATGTTTATCTATTTTCTTGCGCAGTTAATCTCTTTTGTCTATTTCTACACATACTTCCAGACAATATTCTACAGAGTATAAAATATGTTTAGCACGCCATAATTAAGCAGCAGCAAGCCAAACCTGATGAAAACAACCAAATGAGCAAATCACCCACCTAAACCCACTTTATCAACACATCAAATTTTCCACAGAAATATGAGAGACAAAAAAAAGTTCTCTCAAGACAAAAAAACACATTATCAGCACACTGATTTTCTTTTTTCGGCGGCGATAATCATACACGAAATAATTAATTTCTCTCGAGCCTCAAGACAAAAACGAGAACATAACCAGATGAGAAGAATGGTGGCAAGAACAAGGCCATCCATCCAGATCCCAATAGCAGCTAAACACATACTAGCACAGCAGTGGTGATTGTGATTAAAGAAAGCCACAAGGAACCAGCCAAAGCAGACCCAGCTGGTTGAGTTACTTTTCCACTGGCAATGGTGGCAGCATTGCATTGAGGTGGTTAACTACCACTAAGCAAGCAGAGAGGGGCTGGCTTAGAAAACAAGCGAGCTGAGGCAGAGTGAGTGGAGTGAGTGAAGAGTCCACAAGAGGCGCATGTGCGCGCGTGTGTGCGTGGGTGGGGTGATGATGATGACGGCGACTAACTAGGCAGGCCACCGCCGCCGCCGCACCACCGCCGGGGGATCCGGAGCAGAGCGCCCACCCGAAAGGAGAAAGAAAGGGTCGGGACGAGGAGTGTGAGGGCGGTCACCCGTGTGTTTCAGTACTTCTTGTACTGGTCAGAGAGAGAGAGAGACAGAGAGAGAGGGGAGAAAAGAGGGAGTGTGGTGGTAGCGCATCGACTCTCCAGCCGGCGTCGGCGTAGGGCGGCCGGCGAATCTGTTCCGTGTACGGCGGCGCTCCGGCTGGGCGGATCTAGGCGGAGGAGGTGAAGGAGGAGGGCGGTTTCTTCTGCGGCGCGCCGGGCGCGGATGCTTCGTCTATCGCCGCGGGGCTCCGGTGAGCAAATCTTTCGCCTTCTTGCACGAATTTGTGCTCTGTGTGCGGATTTGGGAGGTTGGTTCTGGACCTTTGCTCTGTTTTCCCCCCGTTGGTAGTTCTTGAGAGTTTTCTGGTTGCTGGTTCTTGGGATTCAGGTAGCCTGTGCCCCCTGATGCCGATTCGGTGTGGTAATGTAGGAGCAAATGATTTTGTTGGGTATAATGTTGGAGCAAAGCTGTCCAATTGAGGATACAATCTGTCAGAAAATTAGGGGCAAGGTTACTCCCAAGCCTGTGGGGAAGGCAGAGAACAGATACTTATGAAACTATATGGCTACGTAGGCGATTAGTGTTCAGCGATGATTCATGATACAGTATAAAATTTGATTTTATCCTGGAGGGAAAAAAAGATTTGATTTTATCCTGTTTTGTTCTGATGTAGAATTGGGGTTCTCCCTCCTATTTTTAGAAAGAAGATGTTACTGTACCTGAAGTTATTGTCCTTTCCCCCCCTGAAGGATCAAAGTTACACTGAATACAGCAAACTTGTTCCCACATCGGGTGAGATACTAGTTCGGTTTTCTCAATATAGAACTTATCAGACCTGCCCTGCTTTTCTGTAATTTGGTCTGGTACCATAGGAGCAAAAGATTTTGTTTTCTAATGTAGGCTCCAATTGAGGATACAACTTGAGGATTTTGTCAGAAATGTAGGGGTGATGTTACTCCCAAGCCTGTGGGGAAGGCAGAGAACAGATATTTGTGCAATTATGGTTCATGATGCAGTACAGATTTCGATTTTATCCTGGAAAAGAAACTTGTGAACTATTCTATTCTGTTGTACAGTGGGGGTTCACCTAATTTTACAAAATGTCGCCTGAAGTTATTGTCCTTTTTCTCCTGAAGGATCAAAATTATACTGTATACCACAAACTTATTCTGACATCCTGAGAATGTGAAATACTAGTTCGTTCTTCTCAATATAAGACTTAGGAAAGCTGCCCTGCTTTTCTGTAACACTAGTTCTGCTTTTCTGTAACACTGTGCATAAAGTTACCAGCAGAACTATTCTGTTCTGATGTACAATTGGGATTCTCCTAATTTTAGAAAATGTTACCTGAAGTTGTTGTCCTTTTTTTTCCATAAAGGATCACAATTACACTGAATACAGCGAACTTTTTCTGACATCCGGTGAAATACTAGTTCATTCCTTTCAGTAAAGGACTTTGCGAACCTGCCCTGCTTTTTGGTCCTTCCTGCCATCATGGTTACTATTATTTGCACGAGACGCAGTCTTGAATTCGTTACCTCCACTGGATATACATTGTACTGTCTGCTTTCCATGCCACTGTTATGTGGCATCACATAACCTGCTATCTGCACATACTTTGCTTCTTTCACTCTTTCATGAAGTTTTATTTTTGTTTTTAGTCGGCTTCCCTACAACGACTTCACACTTATCTGTTATTTACGTGCAGGTGTTTGAGATATCCACCTTATTCTAGCTTATAACTCCAGCAGCACTGTAATTCTAAACAATACTATCATGGCAGTTGTGAGCGTATGTGTACATTGATAGTATCCTCATCGCTTTGTAGTTACTTGGACATCAGATGTGACAAATATGTACACAAAGGGGCCACCATTGGATGTTCTTAGAGCAAGCATTTCTAGTGCCCCTAGCACATCCAGCCATGGTTCTGCACAAGATGACTGTGACTCCTTAGGTGATGTCTATGTGTGGGGTGAGGTTGTTTGTGACAACTCTGCACGAACCAGTTCCGACACTGTAATCAGATCAACTGGGAAGACTGATTTCCTCCTCCCAAAGCCGTTGGAGTCCAATTTAGTCCTTGATGTGTACCATGTGGATTGTGGGGTCAGGCATGCCTCATTGGTGACAAGAAATGGAGAAGTTTTTACATGGGGTGAAGATTCTGGAGGCCGCCTTGGCCATGGAACACGGGAAGATTCTGTGCACCCTCGTCTTGTCGAGTCTTTAGCAGCTTGCAACATAGATTTTGTTGCCTGTGGGGAGTTCCATACCTGTGCTGTAACGACAACGGGCGAGCTTTATACCTGGGGTGATGGAACTCACAATGTTGGACTTCTAGGACATGGCACTGATGTAGGACACTGGATACCCAGGAGGATTTCTGGACCACTGGAAGGTCTCCAAATTGCCTATGTTTCTTGTGGGACCTGGCATACAGCCTTGATCACATCAATGGGCCAACTGTTCACCTTTGGAGACGGTTCATTTGGGGTGTTAGGCCATGGAGATCTGAAGAGCATTTCGTGTCCAAGGGAGGTAGAGTCATTGTCAGGGCTGAAGACAATCGCAGTTGCATGCGGTGTGTGGCACACTGCAGCCATTGTAGAGGTTATTGTCACTCAGTCCAGCGCGACCGTGTCTGCTGGGAAGCTATTCACATGGGGAGACGGCGACAAGCACCGACTCGGTCACGGTGATAAGGAGGCACGGCTTAAGCCTACCTGTGTGGCTTCCCTTATTGATTATGATTTTTACAGGGTAGCATGTGGCCACAGTCTTACTGTAGGCTTGACAACTTCTGGCAAAGTGTGGACCATGGGCAATTCTGTTTATGGCCAGCTCGGAAATCTTAATTCAGATGGGAGGCCATGTTTAGTTGAAGATAAGATTGCAAGTGAACATGTTCTCCAGATCGCTTGTGGGTCCTACCATGTTGCGGTTTTGACAAGTAGAAGTGAAGTTTTTACATGGGGCAAAGGAGCTAATGGGAGATTGGGCCATGGAGATATAGAGGACCGGAAGGTACCCACAACGGTCGAGGCATTGAGAGACAGAGCTGTTAGGCACATAGCCTGTGGTGCAAACTTCACTGCTGCCATATGCCTGCACAAATGGGTCTCTGGAGCCGATCAGTCCCAGTGCTCCTCGTGTCGGCAGCCATTCGGGTTTACTCGAAAGAGGCATAACTGCTACAACTGTGGACTTGTCCACTGCAATGCATGCACCTCACGGAAGGCGTTGAGAGCGGCATTGGCTCCGAGTCCCGGGAAGCTTCACCGCGTTTGTGATTCCTGCTACTCCAAGTTAAAGAATGCCTCTAGTTCAGCTAATAAGAAAGACCTTGCTCCAGGTGAAAGCAATGGAGAAGCTAGAGTAGGAAAATCCATCCTTTCTAGTAATATGGACATGATTAGAAGTTTGGACAGTAAGGCAGCAAAACAGGGGAAGAAGACTGATGCACTGTCATTTCTCCGGAATCCTCAAGTTAGTTCGCTGCTGCAGCTGAGAGATATCGCTTTCTCCGGTGGCGCGGATCTCAATAGACCAGCGGCTCCGAGAGCGGCGCGAACACCAGCGGCCCGGTCGGTAACCAGTTCAAGAGCCGTTTCTCCTTTCTCTCGCAGGTCTAGCCCGCCACGTTCTACAACACCAGTTCCAACAACTCATGGTCTTTCTCTCTCGAAAAGTGCCACCGATAATCTGGTGAAAGCAAACGAGCTCTTAAGCCAGGAAGTTGAGAGGCTGCGTGCACAGGTATCTACTTCTTTTTCTTTATTATTCAGCAGATAGAAATCTGCTTGGGTGTTAATAATCACTGTATGTATGTGCGCAAGAAATTTAGACTACTTCTTCTATATGTTGTGTAGGTTGACAGCCTGAGAAATCGCTGTGACCATCATGAACTCGAACTGCATAAGTCAGCCAAGAAAGTACAAGAGGCCATGACACTGGTTGCAGAGGAGTCTGCAAAATCCAAAGCTGCAAAGGAGGTTATAAAATCTCTAACGGCACAGGTAATTTTCAATGCTGTAGCTCTCTTGGTTTGTATCATGCTCTATTGGACCAACTGATCGTTGCAAACCATAATGCATTCCAATAGATAGTCATTTTTTTATATAACTGTGCTTCTCCTACAATATGAAATCTTCCATCGCCGAGAAAAGTAGAGATGCATGATAGGCTTTTCACAGTATAGTTTTTGCATGAGTATTGGAGGTTCTTTTCAGCCGAATGCATCATCAAATTGGCCTTGTGATAGCTCATTGTAAGAAAAGAGAGTAAAATGATGCATTGTGATCAAATTCATTTCTTTCTTAAAAACTGCATGTGCGAACATAAACAAAAAAGAAAGGAGATAAGCACCCCATCCAAATGTGCGCTTCCTGCTGTTTCTACATCTCAGCATCTGGGTTTCTTTCAAACAGAACAGGGTACCTCTTTTCACCAGAAATGTTTGTTAAATATGCATTATTGAGTGTTTTTTTTCTTCAAAATTTGTAGCTGAAGGACATGGCTGAGAGGTTACCACCAGAACATGGAGCTTATGATTTCAATGAAGCAAAGCAAGTACATGTTCCAAACGGTGTCGAGCCACATGTCGCTACCTACTCTAGCATGAATGGAAAAGTTCACCAAGCAAGGAATGAGTTGCTCAATGCACCTAGTACAAACTCTGGGCGGTCGCCGCATTCAAATGGAGGAATCTCAAATCAACACAAATTACTAGGCAATATTAGTGAAAATAGTGAAGGCAGCACTCACAGCCTTAGAATTACCAGTCCTCACGGATCGGATCGCCCTCACCGAAGAGCCCACAGCAATAGTGATGAGATGCTGTCTGCAAGTAGCAGAGGTGATGATAATGTCAGCATAGATGCTAGGTCCCTTCAAAATGGTGACGACAGCTACAAACCTCGAGGAACAATATCAATATCCAGCAACCAAGTACAGGCTGAGTGGATCGAGCAGTATGAACCAGGTGTTTACATAACTCTCACGACCCTCCGTGATGGGACTCGGGATCTGAAGAGGGTTCGCTTCAGGTATTTTAATTATTTCCTGTCATGTTTGCTTTCTTCTACTCCCTCCGTCCCATAATATAGGATGTTTTTTGACATAAGCGTAGTGTCAAAAAACGTCTTACATTATGGGACGGAGGGAGTACCAAATTTGCTTTTCTTTTTTCACACACAAACAACTCATGGAATATTGATGATTGCAATGTTAGTTGCTTGATTAGTCAGTGGACACGATCTTACCGTCCAGACAGGAGAGAGCATATAGTAAATGGTATTGGCCACACGTTCATATGTGACCAAATTGTA